GAGAAAGCTGAGAAGGACAGCTAAAAACAGAATCCAAGCTGATGCTGTCAAAATCATGTCAGCCTTTGTGGTATTATTTGGAACAGACTCTGAGATGTAAATGACAGCCCAGCATTTCTCAGCTGGAGGTTTCTCTCTCCATTTTCACATTTTTGGGATCCACAAACTGAAAAACAACTTCAGGGAGAAAAAAGCCCGGGCTTTGGACAGCACTTCAAGGGATATTTAGCTATAAGGAAGAAGAGTCCATGCCCCCACTTTTTTTTCTTTGTCCTCTTAGGATGAAGTGTTGTTTGAGTCAAAGCAGTAAAGGGGCCCCTTTAGAAACCCACCCAAATCAAGGTACCAGTACCTAGCACTTCAAGCCAGCCAAAATATTTCACTAGACGAGGCAGATAGGTAGACCTCAGCCTGTCCCTGGTAGTAAAAACATAGTAGCAGCAAGGTGAACAGGTCCCAATTTGCTGCCTTTTTATGATATCCAAAATCTGCTATTCCCTCTATCTAATAACAGGACCATCATTGCCTCATCATCCCTCAGTGCATTCTCAGAAGACATACAGCTTTAGTGTCTCACATTATCCATATTGTGATAATAGGATGCGCAGTAAAGATGCCTTGCTACAATATAGAACAGCATAGGCTACTCTTGGCCTGCAGACAACATCCCTCCCTTGTGTTTTTTCAGCCCTCAGTGCCATCACCACAGTGCCCATCACCATTAAAGTCCACTGTGCATTTTTCTTCTAAAATAAAGCATGTAGGAAGCCTTGCTGGAATCATCCCCAGCACAGGTAGATGGCTTACACAGCAGCAAGGGAGAAAGGGGGCAAGTAATGGAAAAATCAATGGTCATGAAGTACCTTCTTAGAAGGTGTGTACTGTACATCAGCATCCAGAGAAGCCATGGAAAACCTTCAATACACAACTGAGTCTGGTGAAACAATAGTTCACCAAAGTACAGCAAAATACCTCAGTGGCTTCCTTCTGCAACAGGTTGCTCTGAAGAAGATGGCTTTGGAGGTAGTATAAGAAGGCACTCCTCTCCAGCTCTGAGAGAATCCTCCACAAGACATCTCTGCTAGCTGGCCAGGTGCAACAACAGTTTCTTCTCTGATGAGACACTGAACCAGAGACATTGGAACTGTGCAAACCCTACAGTGAACATTGTCAATCTACAACAAAACACTGTTGGACTTAATCTTTCTCTTAGGGCTTGAGAGTTGTTGACTGGATTTTTAGCTCCATGGGATCTGTAACTCCACCTCACCTTCCACCATGCTTCCAAAATCCGAACACCAGAAGAAGGTGCCTGTTTAATCTCAAACTATATAGTGGAAAGTACTGTGGCTGAAGAAACTATTCTCTGATCCATCTTCTCATAATGTATTATTTTTCTTACTTGATTTCTTGTCATGACTGTGAGTCTCATATCTGTTATTTGAGTGTATATCATCTTTCAAATGACATGCCTCTTCAACACAAATAAGGCATATGATACAGCAGTGATCAATAGTGATGCATCCAATAACATGGGTGTCATATGAGTGCATACATAGAGCTATACAGATGAAGTGTTTAAGCAACTGCTTTAAGTTGTTGGCCAGGAGCTAATGATGAACTTTCACCACATAGCTGCCCCACAAGCAGGACAAGAGGGGTGGTTTGCCCATCCATGGAATCCTAAATGTATTGTTTACTTTGAAATCCATACAAACAGAAGTCCTGGCTGCCAGATGTGGACTGACTCGATCGTTGGAGGAGTGCCTTCTTGGGCTAGCAGCCATCTCAGATGTAAGCCACTTGTTCTGATCTCCTTCGATAAATTTTTATAACATTTTAACAAGATTTGGACACCATAGAATTACATGGAGGGATGTAAGACTACATAAATAAGACCTGAGTTTTAGTATAAAATCCATCATGATCGTAGTCTATTATAGGAGGGAGGGCTGTGACTGAAAGTCCTTAAAAACTAACAAGTTTTATTTAGCATAGGCTGTCATGAACTGCAGCCCCCTTCACCAGACACACGGAGTATAGCTTTTGTAGGCGGCTACTTATACATGTGTGGGAAAGGGCAGGGAATGTGAAATGCAGAAGAAATGCAAAGGACCCCAGTTTCATTCCATACCAATACATTCTTGAGTGCTGTAGGTTTTCATTCAATATGAAGGTTTGTTGGAGATAATTTTACATTAATTTTATAAAATTCCAAGTCCCAATAAACTCCCACTGTTCGTAAGCTTTTAAATATTGTTTATATGAGGCTAACGAACCAAATATGTGTGCACGAATACATGAGGAAAATATACACTGGCTGAAATCCTGTGCCATAAGTTATGCTGTATATGGCTGATGATGTCAGTAGCCATGACAGTTTTTCAGAAATAAAAAAGTTCTCATTTTTCCCTTCAGGAGAAGCTCCTGTGGAACCCATTTCTTCATGGGAAAGCTTTTGGAGGCCATGGGATGAGAGGAGTCTTTAACTTCTGAAAATCATCACCAACGATAAAGTGATTCTTGCAACAGAGATTTTTGGAATTTAAAGACTTCCTCCCCATCCCACAGTTCCCAGTGCCTTTCATGGGATTCCTCAGAACCTTCAAGGGGGGGATGAGAATTTCATTATTTTGGGGGGGCAGAAATCACTGCAGCAGATGAAGTCATCAGTGCTATGTGATGTAACTGCGCAAACAGGATTTCAGCCAGAGTGTTGTAGCACCATGTGCTATGTTTGGGCCATTTATGCTCATGCACCACTATATAGATTCGCCTCCTTTGGAAACTGCAGATATTTGCGTTCTGCTGAATCCTACTGCTTCTATACAGTGAGTTGTGAAATAATCTCAAGTCAGTTTTGTGCTATGGAAGTTAGTTCCATAGGTGGTGGATACCAAAAGACACCACTGGATTTTAACCACAGGTTGGATCTAGAACAGGATTAACTTGTAAATATGCAGAAAGGAGCATCTGTCTCAGACAGTAGATTTTTGGTGTTATGAAAGACAGACAATTATTAACTTATTATCATTTTATAGTTTTATTGCCAAGGAAGGAGAGAGATGTTTGTTTCCTGTGATGAAAAAGTTTGACTAGTCAGGGGTATTCTGAACCAGTTGCTACTCCACCTCTGGCAGTAAAATGACTTGGACCAGGCTCAACTATAAAACTACCATATGTCTCATTTCTTCCTCCAACAAGAGATTCTCTTTTTCCTTTCTTCTGCCCAGTAGCCAGAGTTATTCCTTTCTTTTGTCTCAGTACAGCCATATCCACTTTCTGTTATTAAGGTCACCCTGCTTCATATCACATCTATGGAATTCTTACTGAAGTTTTCCTGTAGTTCGCTGACCTTTCTCTTTTGTGACCTTATGCCTCATGGTGCCATTTTGGCATTCAAGATTTACCAGTGTGGAGTTGAGCAATGCTATCTGAAGCTTCCTCTGTCTCACTATAGGAAGCAAATGTACTTAGGACCATACTTTTGCTGACCCATTTCCATAATCTTATCTTCAGTGGTCATGCTGCCTCTACCTTTGACAGGTGTAGCATTTGGCACTTCTGCAGCAAACATTTTCCTTCATCCTCCCACAATAATGTCTGAAATGTCTGGAAAGTCCTAGGCTGGAGGGGAAATGCTGAGTTCAATGATTTACTTATGAAGGCAAAGGAAAAGCAAATAGGCAATATTTTATCCAGTCATTTGGTGAGATTAAAACTTATTCTTGCCTTCTAGCGTTTTGCTGTCCTGTAAATTGCCATGCACTAGGAACTAGTATTGGTAGGGTATGAACTTTTGTGGCTTGAAAACTTCTAGCTACAAAACAGAAAAAGTTCAGGAACTTACAGAGCAGAATTATTTTCAAGTCTCCCCTTGGTAGACCACCTCTTATTGCTTAGTTCTCCTTAACTGGCACTTACTATCTCAATAATTCACTGAGAGACACTGGTAAGAGGAAAGAATAAAAATGTTCCATTTACTCACAGTTCTCCATAGATCAAAACAAACAGCATTATGTAGAAAGGTTACATGCATAGAGCTTAACTGATTTACTCACTTCATGACTACTACATAACTTGTTTACTGATGAAACCCATTGCTCTAACTGTCTTCAGACTGACTAAAAAAGTGGAAAAGAAGACTTGAATAGCGAGGCGTGGCTCTCTTCAAAATTATGAGGTAGATAGGGAACAATTGGCTGCTACTAGATTGACTGACATTCAAATTAGTCCAAAAAATCCCTCCCAGCCAAAACCTCTTAAAGGCAGCATACAAGGTTGCAATAATTCCAACAGGACTTTGTTCTTAAATGTTATGGAAAATCCTCTGTTTATTAATAAGTGACTTCACTCATATTAAGCTAATTATCACTTGCATCCAGGTCTTGTTTTTTTCTGCATCTAGTCTTCACTACTGGATGAATAAATAAATAAATGATGGATGCATATATGGGATGCTAGTATGGTATAGTGGAAAGAGTGCTAGACTAGGGCTCAAGACACCTAGATCCAAATCCCTGCTTAACCATGGGGAGTGATATTGTAAAATTGCTCTTTAAATATCTCAGGTACCTTGAAACCCCCATTAGGTTGTTGTAAGTCAGAAGCAACTTGATGGCAGGTAACAAAGGGAAACAAAGCTGTAGTTAAGCTTACAGCTTACACCACATTTCTGGCGACTTGGAGGGATTTTGCCAGAGGTGGTAGCTGTCTGCACTGAGGCAGCTGCCCTTCCAGAGGTTTCACTGGAAAGCTGCCAGTCAGTTTTGCCGTTGTCACACACACCCCTTTCCCTCTGCTTCGCACTCTTGGCCAAATCCTCTCCCCACACACGTTCCTTGTTGTTTACCACACAGCGCTTGCTGGTTCCTTAAGGGTTAAGAGGCAAAGCAGGCAGAAGCAGATTCAGGTGGGTGGCACATTGCAGTGACAAGACTCCAGCTAGAGGGAGGAGTGAGGGAACCTAGAGGAGGGGGGGTGAGCAGGGTAGCGGTGGTGGAGGGGGGGGAAGCCGCGGAAAGGAAAGCAGAGGCAAGTGTGTGCCTCTCTCTGTCTGTGTATGTATGTATGTGATCACAAATGAGATGTGAGCAGGGAAAAGAATGACTTTCTCGCTCCTGCCGCTGCCACCGCCTGCAAACAACTAGCTGAAGAAGGGGGGGGGGGAAGAAACGAGGAAGGAGAGGATAAAAGCAGACAGTGTTCTGCCATCATCTCCTCATTGGTGGGGGAAGCCTGAACCCTCCTGAGCTTTGTCTGGGCCACAGAACCGTCACCTCCCTCAGCCTCCTTCTGTCTGCCAACTCCAGGGATCCGTCAGAGACAGATAACGGTGCACTGAAAGCAGGGAGCTGAGAGAAAAATAGCACCAGCGCCGGGAGAAGAGAGGAGAGTCCAAGGGTAAGTTGAGCCCTGTTATCCTCAGTAGGGGCAGGGGCAGGGGCAGGAGCGAAGGGGGCTTCTTACCAGTGCCAACAGGGAAGCTTTACTGGGCATCCTCTCTCTGTGTGTGTCTTTCTGTCTCTCTTTGATTCTCTTATTATTGGAGAGTCTGAATGCAGACGGTGCACTGGCTGGCTTGTCGAAACTGTCATGTCTCGCTCTTTCGGATGCTGTTGTGGTGGGGATGCAAAACGAGATAGCCAGACGAGGATACTTTATTAGTGCACTAGGTTGGAAAGACTGGGGCAAAGTTCAGCTGTGGATCGAGAGCCTAGCCGTCTAAATCCAAATCAAGCCCTGGAATCAGTGCACTTACAGTCTATTATGGTCTGCTTACGGTTGCGCAAGGAAAAACCCAGGTGTGTACCGTTTCCATCCAGAAAGCTGAGACCTAACTCAAATCTCACTGATAGGTATAGAAGCACATAAGTCATGCTGTAATATGCTCTGCTCTGATGTTTCATCTGGAGTGGCTCCTATGGAGAAAACGATCCCTCTGAGGTTTAGCACGTCTGACTTGTAGTTACCGTCTCGTCTTCTGTTCCAGCCTAAGAGACTATGGCTTGCCTAGTCCCATGTATTTCTCCTGACCCCTCTTGTTGTGTTTTAAACATGGGTGAAAACCACTGGATGCAAGGCAGTCAATGGGAGGAAGGTGTTGTATTGGCCAATGTAGTTTAGCCTGTCAGTCCTCCCCCCCGCCCCCATCCCTACCCTACTCGGCGCTGTCAAAAATGGAAGGGACAGACCGGACTCGAAGGAGCAGGAAACAAGGAAACAAAACAACCCAACCAACCCCAGGAAAAGCTGACAAAGGAGTGGAGGGGAAAGTACTTGAAATGAACTTGGTATGTTAGGAAGTAGGGTCCCTGCTCTGCAGTGTTCGTCATCTTATGCAGACATGCCAAAGAGCCGCCTTTTGCCCTCCGCGCCTGCAGCCCCCAAAGGCTACGCAACACCAAAGGAGAACTGCCTACCTTTACTCCCCGGGCACAGAAAGAGTCTGGCTGCCCTGAAAACTAGAGGGCCGGGCTGAAAGCCTGGAAGATGACTGGTCAATGCAGCTAAAGCATTGATGAAACAAGACGGTGTTGTCTGATTCTTCCTTTTCTTCCGCCCATACTTACGAGAAACGCACTGATACAGAACGAAGCCACAGTTGTCGTTTCGGCATAACATCCCTCTGAAAAGAGAGTTTATCAAGTCCCCTCCTACATTCCCCTCCCGTTTTCCTACAAATCGTTTCTGTTGCTTTGATCAGCCATGCTGCGCTGCTACCCATCACGGTAAAGCTATACATGTATCTGGGGAAGGCAGGGGTAATTGAACCAACTGAGCCATCGCATATGCTCATGAGCTGTAAGTATGTGTGCTTCCTTCACTTTGATTTTTGCAGCCCTTTCCTCATGGCTTGGAAGCAAACAACTCCCTGGTAATGGAGCAAGAGCTCTCTATTAGGAGAAGGTGGGGGGGGGCGCATCCACTGGAAGAGATTCTTAAATATATATTTTATATATATTTGGCAAAAAGCAGTTTGGCTGGCAATAACGCCCCCCCCGCTACAGCATCTACAGTGTTTCCTCCTTTCCCCCTTCTTTCCTTTCTCAACCTGTCATCTTTCATTTTCTCCCCTTTTCTCCTGCTCTTTCTACAAAATGTCACTGTAAAAAGGGTAGACTTGCAGGTTCAGATAAGCTCCCATCCCTCCCTTTCCAGCACAAAGCCTCTGACAATATGGTCCTCTTTCCTCAAAAAGGAGTGCAAGATTCCACCCTAAGCATCAGATCTGTAATACAGAGGGAATGAAGTTGTCCAAAGCTCTCAGTTAGCTTCCCTTTATTTGTCCTGCCAACTTTGTGTATATGTGTGCTACACATTTTTGTGGGATGGTAGTGCTTTTCTCCACAGAAATGGTATGGGTGGGGAAGAGCCCATACTTCTTTCAGTGTTTCCTGTGTAATGTTTGTAGCTGGAGCTCAAGGCAACTCCACTAGGGCGAGACATATGACTATGGCTAGAATTCACAGCTCTTACCTGTGGGGAGAAGTGCTTGAAAGATGAGTCTAAACCAGTCACGCTCCACTCCCCTTCTGTGTGAAATGCCCAAAGTTGGCCATGGGGACCTGATGTTTAAAGGCACTGCTATGTGTGCTCAGCTTTCCCATCACTACAAATGGCTTTCAAAGCTGATGAATATGCTCTTTGAAAATTATTCATCTGGTCTTGGGCAGCTGCCACTCATTTTTGGTCCAAGGAAGATTCTGTTCTCAGCTCCAGGGTGACTTCCTCCTTTCCCCAGCTTCAACACATAAAATCCAGAGACATGGAATCTCTGGGAATTTGAAAAATAGAAGGGCTAGGTTCCAGGCTTTGGGCAAGCAAGAAGACCATGTAAATAGACTCAAAGTGGGGTGGATGTGTTTGAACAGAAACTACTAGATGGTCTGTCTAATGTTGTACATGCTTCATTCTTAATGATTATCCTTCCCAAGTTGAAATACGAATGGTGTTTGCCCTTGGGAGGAAGGGGCTTCTGTCCTTTATACAGCATCCAGGAAAAAGGCAGGCACGTATCACAGTGCTAAATAAGCAGGACTTAACACTGCAGTTTGCAGATTCTTGATGTGTCGTCAACATGATGAATAAATTCTGTTAAAATCTTCAGCTGTAGAAGGAGAATCATCAGGGACTTGTTAACTGGAATCATAATGCAAAGGGCACTCCTGGCAATGCCATCAAGAATTTCAGAGAAATGGCTTAGTAACAGATTATTTGTTTAATACCATAAAATAATCTCTTCCCCATAAACTCCTGGCAGGAACTCTCCTCTCTGTAAGTCTTCTGTATCTGTGGGTCTAGAAGTCTTTTGATTGTCAGATTGACCTCTTAGTTCCCCACCTCACGTTTATAGCAATATATCATAGTGTTCTTTGACCTGGTGTCACGATTCACCTTGGGGAATCCATACTAGCTCAGCTGACCTAGTTCCATTCTACACCATAGCTTTATATAGCAAACAGTCTCACTTACACAAGATCAACATTGGTGTTAAAAGCAAGTCAAAAGCAGTTGTCATTTCAGACCAGTACAAAATGACACATGCTGGTGAGAGATGCATTTTCTTCTGGAGCCAGGTAGCAGCAAGAGAGTTGGGTGTCTCACACTATATTAAAATCAGCTCACTGCCTTTGAGTGTGCCAGCTTCCATTTTTGCAAATGTTCAAAATAAGGAAAACATTGACATTTACATGCAAGAGTGTATATGGATAATTTATAGGGAAAGAGATAATAAAAATGTTCATATCCATCAAATGGTGGGATTCATTGGAAATGGTACAGTGGAATGAGTCTTTGAAAGAACTTTGCAACAAAATGGAAGGTTTTAGTGTGCAGGAGTGCGTAGTAGTCCAAGTGAATATTAAGAGACAACACAGTGAGAATGTATTGACTGGTGAGCCATTTTTGTTGCTGTCATTGTACAAGCTATTGAGCTCTGCACAATTTACCTTTAGACATTCCTTACAGATTGCTCTGTTGTTGGACTCAAGGCATTGAAGCAGGTCATGTACCCTCTGCCCCCCACCCACCCAGTTCTAGAAGACAGACTAACTCTGGGCAATATAATTTTGTAAAACAGTTATACCAGTTTAAAATGTCTAATTTTGAATAACAATTACTTGAGTTTTCAGGCATTGCATAAACATTATTTAAGTAAAACAAATATTTATCAGTGTTGAGAAAGATATCTCAGTATTGAGAAATATTGCCTAAAATTACCTTGAAAGTTCATTGCTGAGGTGACATCAGAACCTGGCGCTTCTTGGCTCATCATCAGTTAGTTGGTGATGCTATTGAAGTTAAGTATTGTGGACATCAGAGACTATCCCCCCTTCAGAAACTACAAGTCCATTACAAACTAAGGAAAAAACAACAACCCCTCTATCATAAACAACTCAGTACGAGGTTGCCAGTGTAGCGTATCCATTCTTCCCTGTCCCCAAACATAACAGCCGTAGTGTGTTGGTTGTCCTTTGAGTTCTCCACTTGATTCTTATAAATGAAAACATAGTTCCCATGGACCCTGATGATCCCATTAGGATGTCTTGATCCATGGGAGTTGCATGTCTCATGGATCCTTGTACCCAGATGCTGTTGAACTGGTAAAGATCTAATGGAAACTTCGTAGCAAGGCATTCCTGTTGCAAGCTTCACCATTGTCTGGTAGACATTGGGGAAAGTGATAAGGAGGGAGGTGGGAGGGAGCTCTATTGCTCTCACAATTACATCATCAGAAGAATGATGGGTCTGTGGCCTGGAATGATGTGAAGTGCCACTAAGTTGAATTTGGCTGGCTCAAGTTAAGTGGAAGACAATAGTGGAGTTGCCTTGAGTTCCAGCTACAAACATTTCACTAAGATGAGACGTATTACTACAGCTAGAACCAATACCAATACCAAATTAAGGCTGTGGAAGCTCCATGAATTTAGCAGGGCTAAGTTCTCATCAATATTATGTGTCTTGATAAAGGGTACACAATGGTGACCTTTTAGATGATGTTGGACTGTTCTTCACCATCGCCTTACCTGAGTAGACTTGAGGTGAGCTGTAGTTCAACAATACCCGGAGACCTACAGTTGGCCACCCAGGTTCTAAGTAGAACAGAAATGTAGATTCCAGATTTTAGTACATGGTGTTCAAACTGATAGGTTTCAAAGAATTAGCCATATTAATCTGTGCAAGTGTATCTAGAGAAAAACAAAAACAAAAAAATGGTGCGGCCTTTTAAAAACTGTTATATTTCAATGTGGGCTTTCATAGATTCATCCAAGTCTTCATCTTTATAGGTAATTTATAGACAAATTTATAAACAATGTTGGTAATAGAGTTAAACACTGGGTATGGAAAAGAATCTTTGCTAATCCTACCTGCAACTAAAATCCTACCCTGGAAATAATTCTGGCACCAGGGTTGATCAGAATCCAGGAGCAAGGCATGTCCTAGCAACTTTTCATGGTTATTCTATCTTGGTAAGCCCTTGTGATCACTGCATTACACAGATCAGTCATATTGTTGTCACATGGTATTTGTTATATGCCAGGAGGTGTTTACTATATGCTTGTTGAGACAGAAACAGCCTGGCATGGGGCATAATCTGCACAGATGCTTAGAGGCCTAGCACAGGCAAGAGCCTTTATTGTTTTGATAGCTAAGGACAAACAATTCTTATAGAATCCAACAAATTCTAGAATCCTGTCTAGAAAAATCTGTTCCTGAGAAGTGTTTTCTTAATGGAACCAAGTATTCCATGCTCCTCCATGTCTTACAATAAAGTGCCCCTCATCATCTGGTGATGACCATCAAATATTGATGTGAAATGTTCATCATTAGCTTCTATAATTCCTTCTTATGTGTGGTGGGTTATTCCGTTGGAATTGCCTTTTGTGACGTTACTCTGTTTGACTTTATGAATGAGAGAGGTGATGACTTATATTGGTCTAAGCCTCTGCAAGTTGCTTTTGGTGAGAGTGATTGTAGAGTACAAGCTTAAAACTAATACCTTGGTATTCATTTCTGTCCAAAGAAGAGTTATACATTGCTTGAAAGATTCTCTTCTACTGAGACCGGCTCAATAAAAGGTGACACCTTTCCTTCCTACATAATCTCACATATAACTCTAGTAGGAGCCCAGTGAAAATATTCTCTGCTGAATTTTTTGCTTTGATAAGACTTTTTTTTTCAAGAAACTGTGTATCTTCCTCCTTTTTTGTTCTTGTTCCTTATCTCATCATATAGCAATGGAGTTAGCACAGAAACAAGGTTCTATCAGTGCTGTAAGATATGATACGCTAGAGTGTCTTTTAACTGGAATAATTCAAAACCAGAAGTGGGGGAAAAAAGAGAGACAAATAACATTTCAGACCCCAGTGCCTTCACCACATTTCCCACACTGCCAACAAACTCTACTGTGCAGTTTAAAAACTTGCATTTTTCTTCTAAAACAAGGCATGCAGGGGAAATTGCTGGAATCGTCTCCAGCACAGGAAGAGAGCTTACACAGCAGAGGATTCGAGACATCTCTGCTGGCTGGCCTGGTGCAAGTACAATTTCTTCTCTGATTGGAACTGTTGCCTAATGGACCTCCAGTTCAGATCTATGGTGCCCATTGTAGATCTAACTCAACATGCTGTTCAGCTTAATCTTTATCTTAGGGCTTGAGAGGGGGTGGCTGGAATTTTAGTTGGAGAGCTCCATGGGATCGCTAACTCCACCTTACCTTCCACCAAGCTTCCAAAATCTGAACACCAGAAGAAGGTGCCTGTTTAATCCTGAAGAACATAATGGAAAGTGGTGTGGCTGAAGGAACTATTCTCTGATCCACCTTCTCATAATGTATTCCTTTTCTGACTTGATCTCTTGACAGGGCTTTGAGTATTATATCTGTTATTTGAGTGCCTATCACTCTTCTGTAGAGTGTACATGCAGACATGTACACAGGATAGGGATAAAGAAGGGAAAAGGACTGTATCTGCCTCATGCCCCACTTGCTACATCTATTCTCCATAACATGTTAGTGATTTATGTGGTTTATGATTCCATCATGGGTTCACTGCCATGGCCAAACATGGAAACCCGTTTACTTAGTATTACCCTCTCCATTGTGATAGTTCCAGCACCAGTACAGCCTCTTTTTATTTAGCCAGACATTGTAGGGAGTATATTTTGCCTCTTCTGCTTTTAAATTTCTTATGATGGTGATTTCTTATTTCTCTCCTCTGTTCCCAGTCATCACAGACTTATGATAACCTCATGAACGAGCAGTCTCCAGTATGTCCTGTCCTCAACAGCTCTACTCAGCTCTTGCAAATGCTTGCCTATGGCTTTCCTTTAGGGAGTCAATTCATCTCGCATTTCATATTCCTCTTTTCCTGCTGCCTTCAACCTTTCCAAGCATTATTTACTTTTTCCAGAGAATCTGCCTTCTCATAATGTGACCCAAAGTAGGACCGACTCAGTTTCATCATTTTTGCCTCCAGAGATAGTTCAGGCTTGATTTGATCTAGGAGCCACTTGTTCATCTTTCTGGAAGTCCAGGGTATCCACAAAGTCCTCCTCTAGCACTGCATTTCAGACAAACCAATTTGTTTCCTGTTAGCTTTTTTTCCCCTGTCCAGCTTTCACACCCATACATGGTGATTGGAAATACAATAGTGCAGTGTTAGATTAGGGTACTTTTATGTGTTGAACTGTCGGATTCTCTGAGGTAAAGCAACAATATAGTCAGTGGGCAAGAAAACAGGTATCTAAGTCCTAGCTGTGCCTTTGATGTTGTGATATTCATAGAATAAACCAATTATTTCTCTTCTTGGTATTCAAGATCAGCTAAACCAAAATGCATTCTTCCAAGGATGTATCCTCTCAGAATCTCCCTTTGTTCTACAAAGGCTTTCCTCCCTATAGTCTACCGTCAAATATACCTGAAGTTATAGCAAGATTTGTCTTATGTTCTAGTCTTTTTTCTGCTATCGCATCAAAGCCTTCTCAGGACAAACTGTTCCATCCTGTTCTTTCCTGTATTTATTTTTGAAGAAAATATCTCACACAGAGCAACAGTTTACTATACAACATTTATTTTGTATATGTATCTGCGTGACTGAGCCAATCACCTTGAATGTCTACATAAGATTATGAATAAAAGAGGAAAGATAGCAGAAGGGCGCCTTGAATGTGTCAGCTCTCCAATGACTGAAGATCTAAAAGGGTTTCCAATTGTTGTTCCCACCACACCATAATATTATAGTACCAGGCTTAAAAAGAATAAAAAATGAGTTTTGTTTTGTAACAGAGTTTGGAATTTCTGGTAAAATTCTCTTTGCTACGAAGTAGAAGTATATTTACAGAGAACAGCTACCATTTTCCCAGAGTCCACCCCTTTCTCATTAGCCAGCACTTAAAGTCTCAGAAACTCACACTGAGACATTTGTAGGAGAAAGAATAAAAAGATTTCTTTACTTACAGTTGCTGAAAATTGCAGACATCTGTATGCTGCTTTCTTTATTGCATACATACTTAGCAACCAACTGAACAGATTAACTACTGCCACAAACTGATCAGAGTGGGGGAAGACACTCAGGTGAGAAGTGGGGCTCTGATTGAATTCAAAGGCTAGGAGGAATGATTGGTTAGTGCTGGATAGATAGACAATCAATCCCAGCCCAGAAAACTTCCTTACAGACAGCATGCAAAGTTGTAAATACAACTACAGCATATTTACCAGTGACTGAATGATCTCTTCAGCTGAAAACAAATCCTCAAACAACCATACTTATGAAAACATTAAATCCATTATACTAGCCTACAATGTCTCATCAGCAGGATTAACATTGTGTTCCTTTTGGAGATGGGTTGAGTTAAGTAATTATTCTCCAGTTATTTGATTCTATAAGAAATTATTCCATATTTGTGCTTTCATGATTTTGCTTCTGGAACAATAGAAATGTAAATGTAAAGTGAAGCTGGCCAGCCATGAATTGGTATCCACTAGGCTAGGAATTCATATAGCTTAGGTAGTGTGTAATGTCTGGAGCATTGACCTAGGATTCTGAAAACCTGGCTAAAATCCCCACTCAGCCATTAAATTCACTGGCTGAGCTCAGTCAGTTATGCTGCCTCAGTTTAACCTACCTCATAGGGTATTTCTGGTTTCTCTATGTACTTGGCTTTAGTGTTCCCGGGGTATTATTAGATGCTATTCATATGGAATTTCAGGATTGCAGTTTGTCCATACACTTCTCTAACTAGCAGCCAGGATTAGGAACAAAGTTGATTGATTGATTGATTGATTGATTGATTTTTATATCACCTGATTCAGTGAAAAATCACTACTCTGTAGGAAATTAAGGAAATTCAATCCACATCAAACACCTTCAACTCCCAACACCAACATGAAATGACAGAATAATAAAAAAGACAAATTACAAGGAAATACAATGAAACCCACAGAATCACTTCGTGACAGAAACTCTCCTCCAAAAAAAAGAGAGAGTAATAAATCCCTTTCTTAGAGGCCAAATATTTTTAAAGTCCTATTTATAAAATTCTGTTTTTGTAAGTTTTTTTGAAAATAAGGAGGGATGAGGCCTGTTATACATCTGATGGGAAGGAATTCCAAAGGCATGGGACCGCCACCAGGAAGCCTGATTCCTAGTTGACATTCTTTTGGCTTCTCTCAGTGAGGCCACACTGAGAAGTCAGGCCTGGGAGGAGTGGGTGAAGTAAGCAGTGGTTGTTCAGGAAAGTCAATCATACTTCCCAGTTGGGGCCCTTTCAATTTGTTGGTAAGACATTAAACTCAGTCCTAGAAATGATGGGACTGGATGAACTGTAGTTAGCATATATGGAGGGTGCCAGGTTTGAGAATGCCAACCTAACTTAACTACTGATACTAAAAATATAATATTGTGTAAAAAACAAAAACAAAATGAGAACCAAAAGATGCCTTGCTTATCAGCTTGTCATGGTGACCTGATTCTTGAACAGAGTGGTGAATGGGATGTAAGGTACCCCTTTTCTAGGGCACAAGACTGGTATAGCTGGGGCAGAGATGGCCACATGATGAATGAGGAGGTATGCAAAGATTCCTGTGGGAGCCACTGTACCTTTAGCTTCAACGGCATCAGAGCCTTGTTAGTTTTCCTGCTGAGCTGCCTAGCAGCTTCTTTTCTGCAGAGATAAGGGA